AAAATAATCCATGTACATAGTTACATTCTGAAGCATATGTACTTCAAATCCTTTATGTACACTATGTATCCTTGATACAAACAAATATACACAATGGATTCAAAACCCAAACTTTTAGAGATGTAGCTATAATCTTAATATAATCTAAGAAGAAAATCTTATCAAAATAAAATTTTGCAAAACATACAGAACATGATGTAAAACACATGGCCAATCGTAGTTCATAAATTAAAAAAAAACAATAATTATATTAATTACTACAATTATCACACCACACAGCAAATGACAAGTAGGAACAATTAATGTTTCGACCTTCGTTGGCCATTATGTACAAAACAAGTAAATACTGTGATATGTCTCTCACTACAAAGTATCATATACAAAAGTAGTTACGTACGATAAGACCAGGGTTGATGGTGGTTAACAGTACCAAGTTTCCAATGACCCTTAGCCAGAACGACAACTGGCATTATTAAAATATTTACACTTCAGTATTCCACCGACATTAATGATTATTTATCTGTTAAGTTCATGCTACAACTCATTCTAAGAATTATTCAACTACAAATACCATTATAAAATAAACTCACTTTAAAATGTGTTTATGGTAACATAATAATTAAACATTACATTCGTGAACACTCCAGAATTTGAAGTTGGCAAATATGGATGTGAAACCTGCATTTCCCCGCACTATTACACATTACATGGTCAAAGCACCATACCATGGGAAGCAGAACGTAAGACAATGCACATTCCTAACATCTGCACTAAATGGTGGTCAGAGGTCAGCTTCAGGGCTTTGTCATTACGGCAGGAAACATTTTGGACGTGGCGATAAAAGGGAATATCCTGGAAATCCCTCACAGAAATCGAAACCCAGCAGTCCGACTGTCAATTTACTGATAAAGCTACTTAGCCAATAGGTATTACATCTTAAAAACTTTACAATTACCAATATTTAAAAAATAGCTTAGCTACAGTAACCACCTAATTGATCCATGTCGTTTGATTACTTTGCACTGTGGCATGATTTGCAGAAATGTTTGGAATACTTAGTGATTATATTTTAGAAAATCTTACCATCAAGGCGATAAACAAAAGACAAAGCTGTAAAGATATGTGATATATAAACAAAATACTCCTTTTACCTTTGCCATACGTCTGTCTGTATACGACATTTCAAGAACAGCTGAATAAATTTTCATAGAGTATCATGAGAAGTTTTACTAAAATATGTGAACATACTTCATTGGTGGTTAAAATCAGACATGAAGATCTCCAAACATTTCTAAAACAATAACGTCCAAATTTTTCTCAACAAAATTACTGGCTACTCAATTATCATGTTTACTCCCCTGGACAGCCCACCCACATAATGGACATTTACAAAGGCCGTATTTTGGTAAACATGACAAATGTTACACTATGTGTACATTTCCTGTCTTTATTTTAGTCTGCTTAAATTTTATTCCATATTCTTTTGTTAATCGTACTGCCGGCAGAAATATCAAACTCCACAGACGAAGCAGTGAACTATGATCCCCTTCTTCCGACGTGATTTTCATCGCTTTTGTTCTCCCATAATAATTTTGACAACACACTTTCCTCTCATCAGTGCACCCTAATATTTTACTTCAGACGTAAGAAACATTCGGGCTTGAATCGAAGAGAGGCTACATGATGGGAATCAGCAGCAGCTGGTGAAAAGTGCTCTCAGAGGCTACAACCAGTTGCGGTAGACAGGGTAGCCCAAGGTATTTCCTTTATCTACTTTTCTCTATATAAAGGTACTATTCCACCTGAGATGGGCATGTAAAGTAAAACGCGCCAAAAATGGGCTACTTACAAATGACCCTCATTCAGCCACACGGCATTTTTCCACGATTACTACCAGCTCTTCACTGTCCGCCATTGCAACACCAAATATACATTTCTTGATATCTAAAAAACTTAGGCTTAGTCCCAGCAGCTCCTAGGCTGCCATGCCCCTGGACAAAAGTAAGATAAAGTGACTGGAATAAAAAATATTTAAAATCCAACTTTAAATATAATAATCTGCTTACAGAACTTAACATTTAACATCCATGCAATGCAACTTACATGTGATCCAGCTGCCATGCATATGCTACTGTCTGGTAAATCCTTTTCATGGTAATTTAATACTGAAGTCAAGTTCACAGATGCAAAACTACCCTAATATAAGATGGCTATTTTCTGGAATGCTCCATAACGTAGTCTGGTAGAAGTTTACTGACATGTCAGAGGTACCAAGCACCTCTGAAACATCAGTAAACTCATACGCCAGAGTACGAGGCTCAACAACTAAGAAGACAGCCATCTTCATACTTGCTGCTGTAAAAACCTGAAATCTCACCAAGCATAACTTATATCACATAAACAAACAAACAAACAAACAAACAAGAAGACTGGGGAAATCCACTCCTATGACAGTACTCAATTTCATTTACATGTGCCATTTAGGTGTATGCACTACAGACAGCAGGTCTGGCAACACGCAAGTTTAACAGAGATCGTTACTATATTAGCGAAGTTCTTCGTACCATTGTTTATTATGGTCAAATATTACATCTGGTTAAAATATGACTCAAGCCACTGGCACGACCAATAACCGATTAATTGGTGAGTAACTGCACAAAATTGTATTATGTCAGTTTTTAAATGACAGGCAATTTAATAACAGCAGGATTAAAGATTAAAATATACCAAAATATCTTGAGTTCATTTTCAATTCCAAGTACAGTATTTATAATTCTATAACCAAGAAAATTTCCTGAACTAGCTACTAACTGCACTGCAGATGTGGGGACGACAACAATTTTCAAGGCAAATTTTGCACTCTGCTGACAGGATGCTGTTTTTGAAAATAATGTTGTAATTCAACAGAACATTTTCAAAGAGCCATACTTTGAACAGGCTCACAAAATTGCAATGGTTGGTGAGATCATTACTCTATACCTATATGTTTCAACATGTCGGCAAAACAGAAACAACGTCAAAGGAAAATACATCCTGATACAAACGAAGTCCTGATTTTTAGTAAAAGATTATATGCACATTTTTCAGTAGAAAGACGGCAATCCACCACCTCGCATTAAAAAACCACAAGACTGCTGTCTGACAGATTTTTGACAAAAGACGCCAACTATGTTAAAAAACACCATCATAAAAGTTTTTTTCTCTTATGGTTTATCAGGAAACAAAATGGGAAATCATCATGAAAGTTTTTTTCTCATGGTTTATCAGGAAACAAAATGGGAAAGTTATATGAAACACTTATGTATAATAGTCCACATTTTATTTTTAACATGCTCCAACAAACAAGACATATGAAACAAAACTATACACATCACGAAAGAATATATATGCTAATATAAACTGCACATACTGAACGAGAGCCCGTATATTGAAAGTCAGTCACTTCCAGTCACATCCATTGGGAATATTAACGGGTGAGTGGATACCAGCAAATTATATAAAAAAATTTGTCTTTCAAACTCAGATCACATAAGAACAGCCAAATTATATCTGGGCTTATAACTTTCAGTTCTAAATTATGTATTAGCAATTTAATTACAGCAATCCCTTTCCATCCATACATTATTACTGATTTCAAGCATTCGTAGTTTTACATCTGCATCCAGTTTCTGGAACCACGGTATTTGCTTTTATGTATTAATTGTTCTAACCTGCGTACACAGAAAAAAATTGGTACTCCCACGCCATAAAATCCATATTTGAAGATTTCTGTCTTCTGGGTTGTTGCGTTGTGTAGTCTGGTCGATGTTAACCAACTTTGCCGAGGTCATACTACCTCCCTCATCAGAGCAATGAATCGATGACGGAGGCAGTATGACCTCTGAAACGTTGCTTAACATCGACCAAACTACACAGCGCAACAACCCAGAAGACAGAAATCTTCGTACTCACCGCTGTGAAAACCTCAAATCTTACAAATCCATATTTACTTGCAGCAGGGCTAAAATGGCATACAAACTAGTTTTCTAATTTCCAGATTATCACTGCAGTGTTTATTTTTCTTAGTAGCACTTTTTATATGTTTTATGTCTAATGTGCTTAGTATTTAGCGCACAAACAGCCAACTTACCTAGGCTTTGATGACTGTTAACAGTGGCTGCTGTTCCCCTAACTCTCGATTCTCCAAAAGGCTTTGGTCTTTCCTACTGCAGTTTTACCAACTCCCATATGTGGTGAGGGATTGCTGCATTTGGTAACTCAATTTTCTACATTAATTGACAGACTGTTATTAAAAATTTTAAAAAAGGAAGGTTCAGTGTGGTTTTATAAAATATGACATTGTTTCTATGCACAGTCCTTTATAACATTGCACTGATTTATAAATTGTATGATTTAATAGACAGATTAATGGACTGAATTAATGTTTTGCCACTGATGACGACCTCATGAGGATGAAATACGTTTGGCACAAAGTGTTTTTTAAAGCGTAAACAGTTTTGTTTGTATGCATAATTTCCTAACTTTGATTGCTTATGCCTGTCTTACAATAGTAGATGTTACAGAAAAACAAATTGAATTTACTTTTTTTGAATTAAACCCTCCCATCAGCAAAGTACATGGGAATTTAAATTTTGTACAATAAAAGTTGAGGATTTAATTGTATTCTCAGCACTGTCTGGAATAAATTATATTCTAATCATTTGTGCTTTCTCTTTATTATTCAGAGTGTAATTCTGAAGGTTTGTGGTCAATGGTTTAGTACTGTCATAGGAGTAGTTCATTGCACACTGCATATTTCAGAGGCTGGGAGGAAAATTACGCTATTACAGATAGCCTGACAGGGACAAGCAGCATCTGAAATGCTATATATTATCTCCTTTTCTATCCACATAATGACTAATTACCAATGCTCACAGAAAATATCTGCATGGTTTAATCATTTACTTACGAGGGACAGGAAATTATGCATTTCTTTGAATAATTTACATATTCAACAAAGGCACAAAGTAATTGATAAAAATCATTTTTCAAAAATTCATCGTACAATGAAATTTCTATTGCTGGGAAAAAAAGAGTATAGGCCATGCTACCTTTCAGAACCAGAGATGTACTATTTTGGATTATACTGAATTTTAAAATAGGATAAGAATTGGGGTGTAGTTAAAACATTCAGTCTTTTATCAATTACAAGGTTTTCTTTTTCATTTTTCTGATAAAACTTGCCACCTTCAAATAATATATTATGACTTTCTTGTACTGAAACTGGTATATCTGATATACTTTTATCATATACAAGCACAACTCACATACTTATTTAAATACCTTCATATACATACGACTAGGATTTCTACTCACCACCTGACTCAAATGCATGTTTCTATAATACACAGTACAACTATGATGAGGATCATCTGTGCATGACATACTTCAGAAAACATCAACATGTTTGTTGTATACTGAATTCAAACAAGATACTGAAACTTGGAACTTGAAATGACAACCATACCAGAAGAAGATGGCCGTCTTCCTGAGGTGTTGCACTGTGTAGTCTGGTAAAAGTTAACCAATATTTCATAGGTGCTTTCTGCCTCCATCATCTGGATCAGTGCTCCCTAACGCCACTGGCGCCATGGTGCCCGCGTTGTTACGGAAAGAGGTTATACTGAATAATGAAGGCCGTTCAATCATGAACATTATAAAATCAAAGCACAGATCTTGACTTACTGACGCCCATCTTGACGATTGTTTGCGAGCAGCAACATCATCCTACACTCCCAAATTTGAAAAACTGGCCGATGAAATGAAGTGCCAAACATCACACTAACTTCCCACTTGAGTAATAATAATAATTGTACTTATAAAACTACGTATTTTTGATTGCATGGTTTCTTGTATCATTAAACGTCGTGTTGTTTTGTGTATTATTTGGTGTCCATATCTTATTTGTCCAGAGAAAAGAAAATTTGGCTTTGTTAATTGGCTGGTGCCCGCTACGATCTCATAAACTCTCAAATGTGCCCGTAGGCACAAAATGATTGGGGACTGAGCCATGCCTCATGGCTCGAAGTGACCTATCTCCCCTCTCAACGTTCTTTGGAGCCTCTGGCTTCAAAGGCCCTGATGCGACAGCAGGGCAGGGCAGTCTGTGTGTGTGTCCGTCGGGAGTGAACGACTCAAGCAGGAAGGCTGAAGGCAGGTCTGTTTTGGGGGTCTGGTTTGACGTGTCTAGTCGTATATCCAACCAGAGACTGAGCCCTGGGAGGCTTGACTGAAAAGTGTCTTTTTGTTCTCTTTATCTCTATGTTTATATAATTTTTATTAAATATAACTTTTTGATTAATCGGGGGTTCTTTAATTTTGTTTTGGTTTTTTTGGACTTCACCGCTTTTACCATCCTCCAACCGTACCACCTCCCGGCCTGGGGTAGTTTGGCTTCAGTGACGTGTTCCGGCAGTCCCCCAAATGGGGGTTTAGGACCACTGATCTGGATGATCATTGCCTTGATGACAGAAGCAGTCAGCACCTCTGTAACGTCGGCCACCTTCATCCAGACTACGCAGTACAACAACCCAGAAAACAGCCATGCTTATACTCATCATCATGAGAACCTAAGATCTCAACCATATTTTACAAGTTTGTCTTGCATCTTGTAAGAACAACGTATCAACTGCAGAACAGTAGCATCCTCACCCAGAAATACTTTAACTTTACATCAATTACATACTCTTGTTTCTCTCTCTACATCACCGGTCCATGTACGACTTTTTCCCTCGTCATCTATGTGAGAGAATTCTTACAAGATTTTCTTTGGTAAAATAACACACATGCATAACTACACTCACCTCGCAGTTATCTAAATTATCAACTGAATTGCTCAGTAGAAAAAGAGAAAAATTCCAATTATTTCTAATATTAAAGAAAAATGGCCATTCCATTCCTACAGGTAAGCTACATTTTTTTTGAGTGAAAGAAGATAATTTCAATGTTTGATATCACTGACATTGGGCCTTCAACACTTGGCAAAGTAAAATTATACCATTTTATACTAACATTGCTCATGAATAAAAAGGCAGAGGAATGAAAACTAAACATATTTCAGCAGTTATCTTGACTCATTAATTTTTTATCAAGTCTTGAAGTTGTAAAGGTTTTTTTATGGACACCCTGTATTATCAAGTTAAAATTCATACCACTTGAGTTTCCAAATCATTCTCCCCGAAGCACTATATTCACAGATGTTACAATGGTGTCCGAACTAAAGGAATTCCTCATGCCGACTTCTGAAGGAGAGGGACCCGATGATTTCCACGAGAAGTGACGGACATCTTAAATTGCAAGTTTCTAAAGAGCATCTAACCATACTCCAATTGATTTTTCTTTTTGGGGTACATCAATGATACTGTGTACATGCTAAAAATGGCTACCGCTTTGGTGTTGTTGGTTTTGAACCTGCGGGTTCTTCTACCACGGAGTTGGTTAGTTTCCAAAGTAAGGAAAATTGGACTGCGGGTTCTGCTACCACGGAGTCGGTTAGTTTCCAAAGTAAGGAAAATTGGAAATATTCCCTTCTTGTACTCAACAATTCAATTATTATGAATTAAAATGTCTGCATAAAACCACAACAAACATAACTGCTGTAACATATCTGATTACATTTTAATTGCTTACTAAGGATTTGTTTAAAAAGTGTCTTCTTTAAATTACCAACATTAAATACTATCCGTAAAATTGGATCACTCTCAACGTGACTGCAAAATACCTTAGTAAACAGTTCTTCACCAAACCAGTTCCTTGCTCTCAGCTGCATTACGCTACAAGTGGTCGCTACTTTACGCAACCTGACGAATGACGTGCTAACAATTTGTGATGGGGAAACATGCCAAAGCTTTCACACAGAATTGTACAAAAATATCTATTTCAAACACATTTAAGAAGTAATTGGCTGGAAATTCAACTGCAAATAATTAAAACTACATACATATATTTATATATAAACTTTATCCAAGTGCCTCTGGACAACTGAAACAGGGCTTAATAACAGCGTAATTATGCAAAAGATCGTATGGTACACTACCTTCATTTCATTCCTAGTTCAGTCTGTATAGCGTCCCAGCACCAATGCCCTCAGAAGCGGACCGACTTCGTGTGGGTCCTGCAAAGCCTCCACCAACATCTTCTCCACATTTCGCATGATGGCTACCTTCTGGTGGTCTTTCAGCGGATATACAATCTGACCAGTCGGTCCGGCCTGAAAATTAAGTTCCAAATAATCACCAGTCACGCTCCACTAGATTCCCAGGACGCAAGACTCACGTATCAGTACAGACGTTTTACAGATTGGTTATCATTACGAAGAAAGACATCCTATTCTTATTTTATGTATCATTTGAACTTTCAGGTTCTGTGTAAGTTTTTTTAAACTTAATTCGTCTGTAAATCTTGATCAAACACTGGATATTAATCAGAATAGATCACCAACACAGAAATAAATGAGACAGAAAAGACTGTAAGCCTAAACCTCAAAAGATGGCATGCAGACTCAAATTAAATTATTCAAGCCAGATTGGTCGAGGGGGAGAGGTCAGACTAAGAACTGTCATTAACTACTCCAGGGTCCGGCAGAGGAATCTGATGTTTTCGGATTGGTTAAAACTGCAGGCAGACGGAGTCAGGCTTCACACGGAAGGTGGGGTCTTACTCGACACATGATGCCATTTCAGTGGCATAATTGGTACGTATTTTTTTGAAGAAAATGGACATGTGGTTACTGTTAATTCTGAACGTTACATTGTCATGTTGCGTGACTTCCTCTTGCCAGAACTTTGCATACATCGCATTAACCCCAGACGAATTTGGTTCCAACAAGATGGGGATTAAAAGATGCAGTTCGTCAGAAAGTTCAGGCGATTCCACGAGATATGGTTCAGCGTGCAATGCAGAACTTCACTAACAGACTGCAAGAATGTGTTCGCAGAAATAGTCATCATTTGGAGGACGTCATTTTTAAATTCAACAATTAACTTTCTAAATTTGTTTTTTATCGGATCATAAATGGCATCTATTTCTCTATAAGCAAAAAAATAAATTTTTGTTTTTTATCATTTCAAAAACCATCAGGTTCCCCTGCCGGACCCTGCACATCCCTCAATATCATTGACTAACATTCAGGGTCAACGGACTGAAGCACTTTCTACACCAAATTAATTATTACCTTATACCAAAAGTTAACTGATATCGTGTAACCTCCTCTCATTATTGACTCGATGTGATGCCACCAATATATTGGAATGTACAGGACATCGCCGGGTCCCACAATGGCCTCTTGTCCTCGTGCTTCTCTGAACTTGGGAAATCTTGTGTAATCTGGCCTTTCAAAGTCCACCTGCCAACCATCATACAAAACTGACCCCAAAATCCAATCAAGCGTAATCTTTTACTTAGACAAAGAGAAAATAAATGGATACATTACATTTCAGAGCTGAATGGTGCGTACTGCAATCTACAAACAAAAAATTCCGAAACACTCACTGACCTGACTCTGTCGATCATGTGGGTGGTACACGGGATGCGGATAAAAGCATTCGAACTGTTCCGGAGGGAACAGAATACACCGCTTGAACCCTCTTACTTCCGCAAAGAAGTTCTGCTGCTCGTCATAATGACAGGGAGTCACATTGCCTAGATCACGTAAACAAGTATCAAAATGTATTTTCGGCACTTGTCGGTTATCGGGACACAAAACGGGAGAGTCGAATATCTGGACTTGGACTGGACGGAAAACTGCGCACGCGTATCAGTATACCCGTATACTCGGTTGTTATCTGTTAGTTCAGTTATTTATTGCTGTTCGGTAAAGTAAAGTTTGTCCCACTCTACGCCATGTAGGCGTTTGGGGTGAGAGGAGGTATAGCTCCTCCCTTCCTTGACCTCGGCACTAGATGGGGGTGAGTGGTCAGCATCACGCCCCGGCCGGCTTTACCCCCCGGTACCACGTTTAAAAATTTGGGATTTACCTAACAGTGAGGAAGATTCTGGATTCATATTTAGCTGAGTTCATGTGGCGGCGTACAAATGATAACGGCGATATTTTTAAAACAATTCTAAAATCTATAAAATCTATTTTGGCCTTCAGCGACAAGTTTGAACAACAATTAACATCTCATGCATATCCAAATAAAATATAATAACTTTCAAGTATATGTCATTTATCCACACACACACATTCACCTAACCTAACCTAAGGGAGTATGCACGCCTTACAATTTAAGAACCCCTGGCGTAGATCATGAAATAAACACAAAGCAGTTTATTATCATTTGAATGTTATTAGAATCATTTTAAAAATATCGCCGTTATCATTTGAACGCCGCCACATGAACTCAGCTAAATATGAATCCAGATATTCGACTCTCCCGTTTTGTGTCCCGATAACCCACGAGTACCAATGTTTACTTTGAGAGACTGTGATGCTTTTAATTTTGCCGAGTCTTTACTTTCAATTAGACAGTTTTGTTTAAATTTCCAGAAAAATAATAGTATAACAACTTGAACACGACCACAGAAAAAGAGGATGAGTTGAACGACACATATTTCACTGCACACAAACTGGTAAAAAAATATATAATAATAATTAAGATAGAATAAATTGTTCTTATAAATGTCAAATAATACCTCCAAAATCAAGACATTTTAAAACTGGCAATCAACATTCAGCTTTACAAACCTTCCATAGCAATGAGAAGTAAATTTGATGTTAAAGGTCCCCACGAGTGCATCTTCTGTTTCGAATTAATCCACTCCCATCGGAAGTTCAAAAAATCTTGTACAATTGCTGGTCCCACAGTATTATTCAATGCTTGTTGCAGGTACATTCTATAAGAAAATAGAAAATTACATCACCATTTCATCACTCCAAAGAGAAATGTGTAAAAAAGAAATCAAAAGGTAAAAATGTTGCCCCTGTGCCAAAAATTCACAAAGACACAATGGGCATGGAGACGAAGTTCCACACATTCCTAACCATTTCCTTCCTACCTACCTTCATCAATGCAACAAAGCTGATTAGTCAGATTAAGTCAGAAAGATGAAAAATGTTACACACCCAAAATAAGTTCTGGACTACCAACCCACTGGAAGATGAAGACTTGGATGATCATTAAAGAAACTGCTAGGCGGTCAAATGTTGTGATTGAAACGTGTAATTTATTGGCCTAATGTCAAGACCAGAACAGAATAAGATATTAATACAATGTCACAAAGCAATGTTCTAACAGATCTGGTAGACATTTCACTTTGGATAAACTGTTCTGGACTGCTTATCTACTTATTGTACACACAAGTTGTAAAGATAACCATGGACTTCAATAATTTTCAAGAAATATTACCAAAAGACAAATACTGGGGGCAATACTGTGTCACTTACCTCTCTTCTCCTCTCCTCCACTGGCGAAGTTTACGTGTAAACTCTGGTAACTTCATATCTACCCTTCTTGTTGGTGGTGTGAAATCCAGTCTGGAATCTCCTGATGTTGGTAAAATTTTCTTGTCATCAAAGTATTTAAACTTATGATTCCGTGAAAGGAAAACAGAAAAGTCTCCATTTCCCATATTCTGTTCCAAATAATCCAGGTCCCATCTCTCCGCTGATGCCACAAGTCTGGTATCTGTTATGATTACGGGCTTCTAGGATATTTAAAAGAAAACACAAAATTATTACTTCATGCCAGCAATTACAATTAAAGCACTACCACTTTTTGATAGCAACATGTGTCTTGTTAGTAACCAAGTCAACAAGTAGTAAACACTGCAGCCCAAAGTGACATCACCTGATAGCCCCTTTCACAAGTATACTTACATTATCTGCGATAAATTCATCAACCTTGGGATCCTTCACACTCAATCTTGGTATTTCGTCTAACTGAATGTCGTATTTCCTTAGCTGACTCTGATCCCACTCCTTCTTATCCGCCATGTCTGTTTCTGGACGACTGTGCTGCTGCGCAAGGAAAAACATTCGAACGTCATGACCTACGTCACGTAGACACATGATGTCATATGTCACCGGCTAAATGCAATTACAACTAAGCGACAGACAACAGCACAAAAATAAAAATATTATTTCAACAGATTTTACTGCAAAGATGAAAATTTACTTGAAAACAAAAGGCTGTCGGCTTGACGTGAACTAAGTTGGAACAGTGAACACCAGAATCCAAATGCGTTACACACACCTAAGAGAGCAGTACGAGTCACAGCACTACATTACATGATTTTGTTGCATTTCGTAATTAAGCACTGATTATATTTTTGTGCGTTCATTGCAAGAAATATATAAAATGGGTGGTTTTGTCTGTTCGTCGGAACGCGTAACCTCCGATACTACTACAGATATAGATATTAGTGGTCCACACGAAAAGTTGTTTGTAAGGTGAACTTAAGGGAGTATCAAATTTAGTCTGTTATCTTACAAACTGTCACAATCCTGCACTACTGCGATGTTGCTGACAATTTAGAAGTGAACTTCTTGTCGATTGTTGAGCACAAACACAACGCACAGCATATAAGATTACTTTTACGTTTCGGAAACCAACTTGAAAGAAATTCTTCATCGATTAGATTAGTGTAACGACTCACAAGTAATGCTGGAACAGATCGTATCGTGATTGATGCGTTACGCGATAAGTGAAGATAGTGAAACACTCACCGGCAGTGCAGACCAGCTCGGCACGTCTACCTCTCTTGTTGTGTTTATTCCAAATGCTTGCAGCCATTCGTTCCCTTACAGCCGCCATCTCCCTCCCCCCCCCCTTCTTTTCTGCTTCCGGCTGGTGTAGAATGGTGTACGTGGAATCAGACACGACGTGAAAAAATCCATTGGATAATTGTGATATAAGTTACATTTATCCTGACCTAATCTTAATCAATACTACCAGCAATAATCAGGAATGTCTTTCGAAATGGGTTTCATACCGATAACTGATAAGAACAAAGAAAATATACTTCTGTGAATCTGTACAGTGTATACTTTCTGTGAGTCCAGTGCATGCTTATTAAAAATCACTTCTGTAGCGTCTAAAATAGGCCTATGGGATATTGACCTCAGACGTTAAATAATTAAGAATTTGGAAAGAGACCGCAATGACCCATTTCCTAAGATAATAAGGCAGAGCGCCTAACGTCTCAGTCAAAACAGACGGTAATCAAGCAGTTTCGAACTGGGCACCCCCAGAATAAAATTATTTTTAGGGCCCCTTCAACCATGGACCCCGTAGGCAATTGCATACTTTGCTATCCTCAGGCGCCACCCCTG